TGACCCATTGAGTCCACACCAGGGGGAATGTGCAAACTCCACCCAGATAGTCATTCAAGGGTGGAATCAAACCTGGGTCCCAGGCACTGTGAAGAACAGCAGATGAATGGAGCTAATTGGATAGCTCTTTCAAAAACCTGGCACAGGCATGCGAGTTGAATGGTGTCCAATGCTGCAATGTTTTATGGTTCTAAATTCAAAATTATAAAAGAAACAATGCACGGTCAATATCAATACTTGGCATTTGTGCAACAAATTTGCATCACAGTGCATCATGGGGTTTTTTGATTAAAAAGTATTCCAGGATCTTGATTTAGTTATAATTTTGCCACAAGTTGGTATAATCTTCTTGTAAAACTCTTTCAACACAAGCAAATTCTAAGTATCATCCAGGGATTTCTTCTCTCACTGATTTGAGAAACACGTGACTCCGAAAATACTGATAAATCAGTTTAAATCCCTCATACACACAGACCGAAACCCACATGTCACTAATTCAAATTCAAACTTTAAAATGAATGATGTTAACACATATGTACATCCCTACACAAAAGAAATTGTCATCCCAGCCTGGTAAACCTTCAATACACTCTGTCTCTGGTAACAACATATTTGTTTTGGTCAGGAGACCAGAACTGCACAAAATACTCCAGAGATGGCCTCACCAAGACCTTATATAACTGCTGTAAGACTTCCTTACTTTTCTAGTTAAAACTCCTTGCAATGAAAGCAAAGTCCCATTTGCTTTCCCATATGCTTGCTACAAATAAGACATGCTTTAAAAACAAGTATGAAATCAAACCTACCTGCCTTGTCCTGTGTATGAAAACTTTACAGCAGCAAAGACAGTACTTTTCTCTGTTCCCTTTCAAGAGGTCTTGGGGTTCAGAAAGTAGTTTCCCTTCCACTGAGCCAGAAGCTCCAGCTTCAAATTCCACTTCAGGATTTGCTGACCGTGGAATGGGTGTTTGTGTACTGATTCAAACAGGTTGATAATCTCTCTGTGAATTCTTCCAGCTCTCTATCACTATTTCTCAAAAGGGGAAAAGTTATTTGCAAAGGTATGAAACAAGCAGCCAGCGTCCCCTCAAAAAACTCAGAGAAGTGCACATAAGGATGCTGAAAAATGCACAATATCTAGTTCAGACCACAAAAGAATCCTACTATTATCCTCCTGATGTAGACTGGATAGTACCAGAGTAATCCTGATCATAAGGAGTCAAAACCGTTAATTCCAAGAGAACATTCAAGGCAAATACTAACTTGTACACAAGTTAACATGCTCAGAGATAATAACTTAATTGCAATCACACACGTAAAAATTTGATGTCAATATATTTAGCAGAGCAAATTTCCCTTATATTGACAGGGTAAAACAATCTTTTAATTGGTCTTTATAACATAATAATTTCTTACAGTGATTTTGGTGTTAGCTTAAAAGCCAACCCTTTACAAATAATAACTGATGTGTTGCCCTAATTTTTATCCGTTATCTTCCCAAAATGTGCTTTATAATCAAGTTGACTCTGACAAACATAAAGTTGACCTAAATAGGTTCTGGCTCAAATATGAAGGATTAAAAGACCTTGCTACTTGACAACGCCATCTATTGCATACAGTTCCTGTCTAAAGTTGTCTCACTGACTTGATTTTAATGCTTTAGACCAATTAATACTGTTAATCCCTTGCTAACTTTCATGTATTACAATAAATTATTTTGTTAAAAGTGAATGTTTATGTGAGATGTTTTAATTAATATTTGGACTAAGGTGCTGAATGCTTGACTGAATGAGATAGATGCAACAACTTGCAAATGTCTATTTTTAAAAAGTTTGTAGAAATCTTCATTCCAGTCTGATGTGTGAAAGTTGATGAAAGTACATGAGATTAAGCTATTCTCTTCTCAGCGTGTGTTCAATGTTATATCGTGCAGCTGCTTACACCACAACTGCTTGCAATTTGCGCTTGTTGACCTTTCTGCACTAAAAGTAAATGCAGCTAAATCATCTCAAACTCACTGTGCGCTTCTAATAAGTAGAAATACAAATTCAGTAAAAGATAGTTACGTCTTCTCTGATTCCAGCAATCTATTTAAATTTGCGTCCTTGTGGTTTGTGACATCAATTGTGCAAATGCCTCGGACACACTTTTAGCTCTCTATTATTAAACCTTCAGTAAAACACTTCTCACGTTTTAGTCACATAAGTGACTAAATTTTTGGTTACAGCTGGGGCTAGCACACTGATTTCCGAAATGCTGATTCAGTTTCGTAATGTGAAAACTGTTGTAGTTTTAAAACAACACCATTCACCTTGTTGTCTTTGAAAATGCTACCAGATTATTTTTACAACACAAAGCTAGGTGGGAGGGTGTGGCGGATGCAGAGATGTTTCATCGTGATTTAGACAAGTTGAGTGAGTGGGCATATGCATGGTAGATAAAGTATAACATGGATAAATGTGAAGTTTTTTGATGGCGAAAATAGATTATTATCTGAATAATGATAGATTGAGAAAGGGGGAGCTGTAATGAGACCTTGTAACAAGACTGGTGTCCTTGTACACCAGGTACACTGAAAGTAAATGTGCAGATGCAGCAGGTGGTGAAGAAGGCAGATGGTATGTTGGCCTCATAGCAAACCAGCTGTCCAGCCAAATGAGTTAACCAATGATGATCAGTCACACTCATACTGAATGGTAGAGCAGGCTTGAAGAGACAAATGATCTACTCCTGCTTCTCTTTTCTATGTTTCTGTTTCCTTCTTCATGGCTTACCACCTGACGACATGGTGCAAAGTTCCCTTGAATGATGACTTTGGGAGTGCCTTTCCGCTGGTTGGGCCACTCACACCAACAAGGTCAGAGGGAGTTGCCTGACAAAGTGCAGTCCAACTGCCCTCATTGGCAGAAAAGATGAAACTGCACATCTCACTGGTTGCAGTGGTAAATGTGGTCCTGGTCATCATGGTTTGACAACTCATTAAAATCTGACCACAAACCTATCTAGATCATGTGGGCAATCATGGCAAGATTCCCAAATTTGATGAAGTTGTGCCCAAAAATTTCTAATATGCCAAGTCCTGTGGTGAAGGAGAATTGGCAATGGCAATAATGGCTGCAAATTTGGGAATTTCTAGTCAAGAAACTGTACACTAGTGATGCCTAAACATAAAACATCCCACTTTCTCTTTGATTTGGATTGACACCCTGTGGGATCACATCTTTGTGATCAAAAACAGAAAGCTCTAACTTTTGCAACTGTAGAACACTCACAGAAAATCTCAAGGGTAACCACCCAGAAAGAAGAACTGCAGTTGTATCACAAGCTTTCAAGACTCCCAACTGACTTTGCCACCCTCAGATACACTTGTGTTCTTGGAGAGGAACAGCTGAAGGACAGGAGAGAGATTCACTTTCTGTTGGAAAGGGAAAGCTGACAGAAATCCTCAAATCCATGGAATTGATTTTGCCATCTAAAATTGGATCTTGAATGCATTGCCAGAACTTTGGGCTTGTATAAATCAAAGGCTCAGGAACATTCACTTAGAGATTGGGCTTAACCGATATGTCGCTATTATCAGCAATACTATGTTGAACCTTGACCCTGATGAAGATGTTGAAGAAATGTTCTGTTCTGACCTTGATGAAATCCTCAGTGCCATCACAAAGGAAGAAATTATCATCTTTGAGGTGGCAAAAGGAGTCATCCTAAATCAAAACATTGGCACTACCTAGTTCGGTAATTATTCCAGTCAAAGGTCTACAATAAGTAATATCTATACAACTTGATCCATACAGGTTATTGAGATCTGCTGAACAGAACTTTGATTAGTTTGATCAGTGACAAACATCCAACCAGCTACAAAACATTAGAAGGTTCAAAGATTCACGAGGGCAAAAATCATTCTCAGCCTTACAACAACATGACCAAAGAGGGCATTTCCAAGTCCCACTCAAAACTGGTCTGGAAAATCTTCACAC